TGGGGCTGAGCAAACTGGATCCTTTTGGGCGGGAAAGGAGAAAGAACAGTTCCTGGAAGGGAAAAAAAGGCACCCCGGGAGCTGTGTTTTGTGAGGGGAATATGTTCTTATTATTGAGGTTAATCATGGTAATGATCTGATATCGCTGGGTCAGCCCAGGAGACCGCGCTCTCCAAAGTTCTTTCTCACAGAGGTTTCTCCAGGAGTCAAGGGTTCCCCAGCTTGACCGTGGTTGGAGTAAATAAAGTAAAGACCTCCAGTCCCTTCCTCTGCCTTTTCCTCTCCCTCCCTTAAAAACTCCAGAAAAAGGGAAAGCTTATAAAATCTCCAACACCCTACTTTTTCCTCAACTCTCTCCAGTTTACTAAAATGCATGGTCTTTGGGAATTGAGCTTTTCTGGGTCACCCTTCTTGTGAAGCAACAGAGGTGACCCGACTGAGTCCCCATGAATTCTGACGCTGACCCTGGAGAGGACCCAGGATTCCCTTGCCTACTGTAGAATTCTCTCTCTATCCTTAGCTTTTCCCAGTCTCTGCCTTCTTTGCTCTTGGGTGCCTAATCTCATGGGTCTCTGGCAGTTCAGAGGCTAAGAACAGATTAAGGCACTTTGAGATACCCTCATAAACTCTTAAAAGTGTTTCCAGCTTCCTGTCATCTCTTTAATACTGGGAGGACCAGGCCAGGGAGCCCTCCATAAACTAACCTAAGGCCAGCCTGGTTTCTAGATCTTTTCAAGCCAAATTTAGATTCCTTGAAAAATAAAACTCCCCCTCCCCAGAAAGAAATTCAGGTTACAAACCTGCAACAGAGGAAGGTTCCTGCATCCACACATCAGAAGTTTCAGCAACAATTTTCATAATATGAAGAATTAAAGCTTGCATCAAAGTTAGCAAGGGACACCCCAAACCAAGTTTTAAAAAGCAGTCTTGAAGAGGGGTGGGGGTCAATGAGGCTGGGATGAGGGAGGAACGTGGTGGGGAACCCAATCTCTAACTAACAATTTCTCCAGCATAAAAATGAAACATCAAATTCGTTAGCCCAGGGCCTTCATTTTTCCCCTTCCACATTATAACTAGTTATTGAACTCGCTGGAAGATCTAAAGGCCATTTGCGAAGAGACAAATTTCAATGGAGTTTCCTCATCAATAACCCCATGGCAGTGACCTATTGGAACAAGTCAAACACCCGAGGTGAAATGCAGGTCACTCTGTCTAACCAATATTAAAATGCGGCCACTTTTTAAAAAGCCACTTTAAACGAGATTTAAGGAAAATTGAATTCCAAGGAAGGCAAGGCAAGGCGGGGGAAATCCATGAGAGGACCTCGCCTATGGTCTCCAAACAAACAAGAGAAATTCATCTTCAATATTTTAAAGGGGGGCAAATTAACATTCCATGATTGCTTTTTTTTTTTTTTGAGACTATAAGCTATTCCAGGAGAAGAAAAAAGGTTGAGTATTTTCTGGTGACACATCCAGGTTATTAAAATCATTTTAGACCAATTCATTACTTTTACTGACAAGAGATTTAAGAAAAAATCAATTAAGCATTTGCATATTCTTTTGCATACATTAGCCCTGGCTGGGGCATTAGAAAGGGACAAACACGCGCGCGCGCGCACACACACACACACACACACACACGAAAAAAATGGGATATGAGCCTTGATTTAGTTTGGGGTTTTCAAGTTGCCCAAAGGAAAAAAATCAAAGTGAAATGAATTGCCTGATTGCATACCATCTAAAAGTCAATTTATGTGAGTGAAAGGAAACAGACATGTTGCAATTTTTAATCCCTAAAACAACAACAACAACAACAACAACAACATTCACACACATAAACCCTGCATTTTAAAGAGTAGGAAAAGGAAGGACCCTCATTTTCCTTCCCTTTGCCCTCCAAATCACCCATTTATTTTTCTCCCTTGGAAAAATCAGAGAGGGGTGAGATTTTAATGCAGCAGAGAATCTGTGGAGCTGCTGAGCTCTCTCAGCCGGCAGCTTGTTACTGGGGAGGGGAGGAATATGGGTTATCCAACGGTCAGTATGGTAATCCAGGCACAATAAGGCCTCACACACAATGGACACATATTTTTCTTCAGCGATGTCAGAAGGGAAGCGCTTTGTACTGAAACGTGTTTCCGAAAGAGAAACCAAATTGAGATTTAGAAAGGGGATGGGATGGAGGGGCAATTGCAGAGAGCATTTGGATGCTGGCAAAAGGTAGTCAGAAAAAATAAAAACAAATAAAACTGGGGCAAAGTAAGGTGGAGGACAGGGCAGAGGTGCGGTCCCTGGGCCAGCAAGGCGGGAGGCAGGAGGGTGAAACACAAAAGAAGACAGGACCAGATACAAGGATTCATCACAGATGAGAGCTGCTTTAGTACCCCCACCCCCTCCCAATTAAGCCATTGCTAAGTGCAAAAGCCCTTCGAACGGATTTTATTTCTGTGCTTGTAATAATATCCAGGTGAAAGTGTTTGTGTGTATATGTGTGGTATTTTACCCATGTGATAGGCGACTTGCTTGCTATTAAGCTAGAGGAGCCCAAAGGGAGTTGCTGTTGTTGTTTTGTAAATGATATAGACGAGTGTGGGCACATTTGGGGGAACCTTGGAGACTTAACTTTCTGGATGTGCATGTTGAATTAGCTGCACAAACCTGGAATGAGAACTCTACATATTTATAGCTGCATAAAGAGGCATTTAATATATTAATAAATATTAATAGTGTGCATGCATATATGTTAACCATAATAACCAAAGACAGACTTGACATTCAGTTGGGGGCATCTGAACCCTCTGTGTCTACTACTTACACTGGCCCAAAGTCAGTCTCCTTGACCCACCTGCAGAAGTTCAGAAACCTGGCCAGGATGGGATGTGACAGGCAACATATTGGGGAGGACTCCTTAACAAGTCCAGGAAGGTGAAGATTGAAGAAAAGAGGGTTAGGGCCAGGGCAGGGATGGTAGAAGGTGAGTGTGAGGGCTGAGAGGAGGAGAGTCAGGCTCACAGCTCACCTTTCCAGGTGAGGCAGCCATATCCAGGTACAGGCCTAAAAGGGGGCAGGGGGTGGGGCCCGGTTTCCTCCCTCTTCATCAACCCTCTCCGCACAGTACCAAAGTTTTCTGAGCTTTGGACTTCCCCATGGAGTCATCTGGGACTATAGTTCAGACTTAGGTACTAGGATTCAGCACTGGTTTCCCTTTGCCCTCTTCCAGCAATTTTTAATGAACCCACCCCCATCACCAATGATTAAAATAAGACAACCCTCACACAACCCAAACCACTGTTAGCCAAGCAGTAGCCTTCCTCTGCCCCCTCACTCACAGTCTCAAGTTCCTCTCCAACCTAACCAGCCTGTCCTCACATGCAGAGGGTTCCAGACAAGAGTGGGCAAGGGTTCTCAGCCAACTCTGAGAATTTGGGAATCTCCATAAGAGGTGGTCAGCCTCTGGGGAACTCCTGTTCCTTCACCTGGCCAGGTGACAGTGTGGATGGGCACTGTCCTCTTGGAGAGAGAGTATTCAGGGACCCCCAAGTGCCAGCTCTTTGGAAGCTAAGCGCTGGCCCTGCTGAGCCTGGGGTGGGGTTGGGGGCCTAAACATTAGAAGAGAGAAGGCAGCGAGGGCCCAGGCGGGAATTAGCACCCTTTGGGCACTGCCTGTGGTCCAGCTTCCCTCTCATTCCAGCCCTCTGGGGAAGCCCTAATTTGGAAGTGCAAACCCTCTCCAACATCCCAAAGGTGATGAAAAAGGATGGGAATCTCTTGCCTTCAGTCTCCCTCTCACAAGGGCTTTATTTTTTTTCCCTTTCCCCTCCTCATTCCCTTAATTGCAGATGTTCTAATTAAACCCTCAAATAGTTGTTATGCCGTTTTAAAAGGTACTTATTCAAGTGTCAACCAGGCTGGGCTGGGAGGAGGCAGCGTAGGGCGGCGAATTAAAGGTAGATTGACTAATCACGGCGGCGATCATAATAATAAAATCAGAGGGGAAAAAAATCACATTACGACTTTTCGTGGAAAGGAGGGAGCAGGCAGCCAGCGGCCGCCAGCCCCGCGCCGCCGCCGACACAAAGAGTGCGGGCGATTCCGCGAGACTGATTTATGACGTTTTACAGCCCTATAAAAGCTGTAGCGACGAGGCAAGCGCTCCTACCACCGCTGGCAGATTTAGTCTAATAAATAAAACATAAACAGTTAACTTTATGTGTCACTTTTATTGTTATCAAGTAAAATATAGCCGAGCCCCGGCAAGCTATGATTTTAAACTATAATTGTTATCAAGTACAACAAGGGGACCCAGCTCCCTCCCTGGGCTCTCCCCTCTGCTACCCCCCCAACTCTGAGTTATGGGCGATCAGTTAATTGGAATCGGTGGCCTGACAGGGCCACCCCTAGCTGGGGGGTGGGGGCAGTGTGGTGGTTAGGAAAGCAGCTTTTCCTGGCCCCCTCCCTCCTCTATGGCCCTGCCACCCTCCTCCATCAGAGTACTACTGTGAGTGGGTGGCAGAAAGAGGGGAGGGGGTGTGAATGGGCTGGAGACCCCCAAGGCTGGCCCTGCCTCCCCAACTTGGTGAGCTTAGCCTTCCGTTTTTGGAAAGCAGCCTGGAGCTGGCCCTTAGGAATTCGTGTTTACATGTAAACACACGTGTTACATGGATACAGCTCCTAGCCAGAAGCAAGCAGGCCCTACCCACACAGGCCTCCCTATTAGCTAGGTCTGCCCTCCGTGGGGACAGAGAAAGAACTCTCAGGGTCTTGGCTGGGCACCATCAGAGGGCACTGACTCCTGGCAGAAAGCTCTCCTCCGTGCCCCAGCTCCTTGAAGATAATTGTCAGAAAATAGCAGGCCGGGCTGAATGGGGAGTGGAAACAGGAGCCAGCAGTAGAAGAGATCCTCTGCTCTGGGGCTGGGGCAGGGAGGGTCAGTGGGTAGCAGGGGAAGGTGAGACTTCTGAACTCTGCTTTTGCCAACCACTTCCTGTCTCTCTTCAGCGGGGGCTCAACCCCCAGACCTCCAGAAATGACGTCAGAATCATTTGCATCCCGCTGCCTCTACCTGCCTGGTCCAGCTGGGACCCTGCCTCGCCGGCCCCATGGCCAGAGGGTTGGGTGAGTGTGTATGGGGAAGAGGGCTGGACTCTGGTATCCTTGGATGGGGGGCACTCCAGGCTCTTCAGCCTCCTCGGCTCAGCCTGGGCCCCTCCCCATCCAACCTCCACTCCAGTCCTCATTCAACTTCCTCTTCCTGCGAAAGAGGGGCGCTGCCCGGTGACCTACACAGACTGAGACACGATCGCCATGAATGGAGACCTCTGGAAAAGCTCAAGAGCCGAGGCCCACGGGGCCCAGCAGAGGCCTGAGGGGAGACCCTGGGCGGGGGCTGAATCACTGCCTCCCGACAGCCCCCCAATGCCCGGGCTTTGGAGGGGAGCCGGGAGCTTCCCATCTCCTTTTGCAGGGGAGGGTTGTCAGTCTGGCGGGATGTGCACTGGCGGCACCCCAACCCCTGCCAGCTAACCCCACATCACAACCCCCCACCCCCCAGCACCACCACCACTACACACACAAAAAAATTGGATACATTTTGAATAAAGCGATTCGGTTCCTTATCCGGGGACTGGGTTGCTCCGTGTGATTGGCCGGCGGAGTCACATGGTGAAAGTAACTTTACAGGGTCGCTAGCTAGTAGGAGGGCTTTATGGAGCAGAAAAACGACAAAGCGAGAAAAATTATTTTCCACTCCAGAAATTAATGATCATGAGCTCGTATTTGATGGACTCTAACTACATCGATCCGAAATTTCCTCCATGCGAAGAATATTCGCAAAATAGCTACATCCCTGAACACAGTCCGGAATATTACGGCCGGACCAGGGAATCGGGATTCCAGCATCACCACCAGGAGCTGTACCCACCACCGCCTCCGCGCCCTAGCTACCCTGAGCGCCAGTATAGCTGCACCAGTCTCCAGGGGCCGGGCAATTCGCGAGGCCACGGGCCGGCCCAGGCGGGCCACCACCACCCCGAGAAATCACAGTCGCTCTGCGAGCCGGCGCCTCTCTCAGGCGCCTCCGCCTCCCCGTCCCCAGCCCCGCCAGCCTGCAGCCAGCCAGCCCCCGACCATCCCTCCAGCGCCGCCAGCAAGCAACCCATAGTCTACCCATGGATGAAAAAAATTCACGTTAGCACGGGTAGGCAACTTTGCTTTTTGCTCCCCCCCTCCCTCTCTTCTTCCCTAGCGCTCCCCACCCTCCTCGGCCCCCTCTGGCCCCCGTCCTCCTTTCTCTCCTTCCCCCTCTCTCTCCAGGAGCGACTCTGGGTTAGCACAATTGAACTGGATTTACGAGCGAGAATGGGTAATTACATCCCCCATAAATTTTATGGCTTAGCTACTCTGGGCAGTCCGAGCCATGTGCTACGATCTGTTATGTATGTGTGAAAACTATGCTGGCTTTCTAAGGGCGCATAAATAATTCAGTGTCGTTACAATGAGGATTCCCCTCTTATTACACTACAAAGTCTTCAGCTTCCTTCAACTTCTTTATAACCCATTTAAGCTTGATGACTTTATTTCCACCACTCCCTCCTCCTGTTCCTCAGAGCTGAGGATGGGGTGAGGGTGGGGGGCGGGGTGCCTGCTGCCTCTGAACCCCACTATTTGCTTTTCCCCTCCCCCTCCCCCAGTGAACCCCAATTATAACGGAGGGGAACCCAAGCGCTCGAGAACAGCCTACACCCGGCAGCAAGTCCTGGAATTAGAGAAAGAGTTTCATTACAACCGCTACCTGACCCGAAGGAGAAGGATCGAGATCGCCCACTCGCTGTGCCTCTCTGAGAGGCAGATCAAAATCTGGTTCCAAAACCGTCGCATGAAATGGAAGAAGGACCACCGACTCCCCAACACCAAAGTCAGGTCAGCACCCCCGGCCGGCGCTGCGCCCAGCACCCTTTCGGCAGCTACCCCGGGTACTTCTGAAGACCACTCCCAGAGCGCCACGCCGCCAGAGCAGCAACGGGCAGAGGACATTACCAGGTTATAAAACATAACTCACACCCCTGCCCCCACCCCATGCCCCCACCCTCCCCTCACACACAAATTGACTCTTATTTATAGAATTTAATATATATATATATATCGGTTCTTTTCTCTCTTCCTCTCACCTTGTCCCTTGTCAGTTCCAAACAGACAAAACAGATAAACAAACAAGCCCCCTGCCCTCCTCTGTCTTCCACTGTTAAGGACCCTTTTAAGCATGTGATGTTGTCTTAGCATGGTACCTGCTGGGTGTTTTTTTTTTAAGGCCATTTGGGGGGTTATTTATTTTTTAAGAAAAAAACTGCAAAAATTATATATTGCAAGGTGTGATAGTCTGGTTTGGGTGAATTTCAGGGGAAATGAGGAAAAGAAAAAAGGAAAGAGATTTTAAAGCCAATTCTCATCCTTCTCCTCCTCCTTCTTCCCCCCTCTTTCCTTAGGCCTTTTGCATTGAAAATGCACCAGGGGAGGTTAGTGAGGGGGAAGTCATTTTAAGGAGAACAAAGCTATGAAGTTCTTTTGTATTATTGTTGGGGGGGGTGCGGGAGGAGAGGGGGCGAAGACAGCAGACAAAGCTAAATGCATCTGGAGAGCCTCTCAGAGCTGTTCAGTTTGAGGAGCCAAAAGAAAATCAAAATGAACTTTCAGTTCAGAGAGGCAGTCTATAGGTAGAATCTCTCCCCACCCCCATCGTGGTTATTGTGTTTTTGGACTGAATTTACTTGATTATTGTAAAACTTGCAATAAAGAATTTTAGTGTTGATGTGAAATGCCCCGTGATCAATAATAAACCAGTGGATGTGAATTAGTTTTACGTCAATGTCTGATGGTTTCTTTTTATCCCCCTCCTTTCCCTGGCCTGGTAACATCCCATCTTCTCTATAGTTGCCTAAGTTTACTTTAAACAAACACACAAATCTTAGCTCTCCATTAGTCTTCCAATGTCCTTGGTAGAAACAGCAAAAGGGTTGGGGTATGGGATCTTCAGAAGAGGGGATGTGGAAGATTAAGATTAAGACTAATTTCTCCAGTCCCCTTGCTTCCCCCTGAGTCTGCGGAGAGGCCAGACTCCTCTGGGGGCACTTCAGTGGAGCTAAGGGTGGGGGGTGTCTCACTTTTCTATAGTTAGGTACAGTTTCTTCTTTCTGTATGTTCTCTCTCTTCCCTTCTCCCTCCTCTGTGCTGAGTAGGCCTGCCTAATTTGTAGACAAGAGGGCACGTTTAGGGAGTGGGAAGGAGAAGAGTTTTCTTTCATCTTTAGGGCTCTTTTGGGATGAGGGATTAAGGAAGACATCCCCTCAACATTTGAGTTCTTAAAAGAAGAAAGTTTTCGAGCTGGTGATTCTGAAGCAGCAAAGTGACCTGTCAGGATGCCTTCTCTGTTTGTTTAGGCTTGGAAAAAGGGGTAAGGTGGAGGCCAGAGGCCTGGGAGTTACCCTTGCTATGGATAGGCCTCAAAGGTTGATGCCTGGAGATAATAAAAGATTTTTACCTTTTTATTCTCTTCTATTATGGACCTGCCAGGTGTTGAGAAAAGACTTAGGGAGAGTAAAGGACCAACCTCTCTTTCTATAACCTCCCAGGTCCTGGCAGTGTATGGGGATAGCCTGAACAAGCCTCTCTGGCTGTAAAGAAATAAATTAATTAAATAAAATTGTTTCCTTGGGGCTAAAAAAGAAACAAAAAATCTTGCCTGGATTACCTGAATAATACATTCAAGCCAAAGGCTCCCAAATAATTCTGGTCTGAGAACCAGGCCCTAGCAAGGCCTGCTTAATTTTTTGCTTGTTTGTTAGGAGAAGGTGGGAGGAGGGCTGTTGGTGAGCTTCTTCTCAGATGATTTATCCATATTTCAGGAAGAAAGGCAATTAGAAGTAGAAGACAGAGGAAGAAGAGATCTAGGGTATGCAGGGAAGCCAGGGATACTCCTTCCCCCATCCCCAAATTCTGGAGTGAAAGGCAACAGCAGGACTAAGTTGTACAAATCACATTGGTGTGATTTGAATTTATTTCCTTTTGAACCACTTGCTGGATGTTACTTGCTCTGTGTGTGTGTGTGTGTGTGTGTGTGTATGCATGCCCTCACAAGTGTGTGTGTTGTGGGCAATCTCTTAGTCCTTTAGGTCTACTTTTCCTCCCTCAGTGGTACCCTGGAGACAACAAAACATGCTGCCTACAGTGCGAGGAGGCAGGCCAACAATTATCTGGAGTTTTTTATGTGATCAAGTGAATTAGGGGCCAAATCTGACTGTAGCCCCTATCGTCTTGAGGCAATTGCCCTTGGAACAGAAAAAGGGGGTTCTAGCTGCGCTTGCGAAAAGGGAAGGAAGGTCTAAGGGCACCAGGGTGTCTTTTCAAGCCTGTAAAGGAGCTAAGATGGAAAGCAGGGAAGGGGTAAATTGAGATCCATGGTTCTTTCCTAAGTTTGCTCGTGTGACTTTCAGGGAGTTTATCCCTCTCCTCCCAAAAGTGGAAGAGATGAGAGTGAGGAGGGGGAAAATTATTACATTTTATTTCCTAAGTTTCTCCCTGAAATTGCTGAAGGAACACTTTAGTTCAGGGAAAGCAGCATAAAATGGTTGGAACACTTATTTTATTTCCCCTTCTTTATGTCTTCTATTTCTTCTCCTTCCTCTTCCCTCACATACATGGTCATTCTCTGTGTGTCTCCTTCTGTCCTTTATGGTCCAAAAAGGAGAAACATCAGAAATCCATAATTCTTGACAAATGAACCCAAACTAAAATCCCTTACATTTGAGTTTGAAGATTTTGTCCTCTGGCCTTCCCTCCAGTGGGCTCCATTTTCTCCCCTTTCCCCAAAGTTCTCCTTTGCCTTGGACTTCGTCACCCAGAATGGCAGGGCAGGGTTGGGATGTGGGGGGCCAATCTGGGCCGAGGGCCCCAAGCCCCAGCAGTCTTGGTCCCTGCTCTCTGCCTGATGCTGCTACAGCCTCACTGGAAGCTGAGAGCTGAGCTTTTATTTAAGTTGGGTTGAGCAGTGGGGAAAGGCTGGGGGGAGGACACAGCCCAGGTTCACGGGGAGGACACAGCATTTTCTCTCCCATTGCCTTTATATTCTGCAGCGCCTCTGACCTCTCCCCCACCCCCATCTCTGACCCTCCCAAGCCAGCCCTTGCTCAGCCCTGGTCTCCAGATAGGATGCCACTGCTTTTGTAGGACTGGGGATTTCTTGCCCAGAGTAATGGGAGAGGCAAGGCGCATGAATGCCTGTAAGTGCATTGTATCCCTCTCTTCAATGGCTAAGTAAAAAGAAGACGGGTGAAACGGCGACACCGATCTTCCAGGGTTCCTTCTCTCCAAGCGCCAGGAGATCCCCACAGGCCAAAGATCCCTTTGACATGTAAGTAGTTAGCACTCGGTCTGCTCTGGGGGTGAGGAGCACAAAAGTTTAAACTCTATTTGCCAGTCAATTTTTGTCACGATCCCCGGTCTTAGGGAGTGAAGGCGGGAAATCCAATTGTGAGCGGAGGGGTTCTGCTTGGAGAAAAAGACGTTTCTGTGCCGAGTCTGTGTACCTGGGGAGTAAAGAAATTTGGCTCAAAAAAGAGAGAGAGAGTCTGAGAAAGTTAGACTGAGGGAAAAGGACTGGGGCATGTTCCCTGTCCGAGGGTCTCTTGCTGTTGTTTGTGTAAAGTTTCCTACGAAGTTTTCTCTGCAATCTGTGCTTCAGTTTTCTTTCTGCTTGGATTTGGCAGATTGAAATCCAGAGACAGCTTCCCACAGCTAGGGGGGTGTGTGTGTGTGCGCGCGCGCGCGCGTGTGTGTGTGCGTGTGTGTGTGTGTGTGTGTGTGTTGGGGGAGTGGTAGGGAAGTGAAAACAATTAAAAGGTTTGCTGGGAGCTTGGGGCCAGGGTGTCCTTCTCTGCTTTTCTAGGATTAGGGGAGACTGACTCTGAAAGGGGCCCTTAAGATCAAGGGTGCTATGACGGGGAGGAGCAGTGCGCTGGAGCAACTGTACCATCTTTTTCTCTGCTTTTTGCCCAGTCCTGGGGGAGCATGCTATTGCACTCACAAAACCACCGCTCCAGGTTTTCCACAGCTTCTATCTGGCACCGCACCTATGGAGAGTTAATTTTAATTTTAATGTTCCCCTTCCAAGAGACCCCTCTCAGGCTTGGAACCAGAGATGGAAGATCCCCGAACACCAGAACTCCAGCGGCCACCAGAGCAGAGGGAATATTTATTACCTCTCTGGATGTCATTACCTAAGAATACAATTTTATGAACTTCCTAATCTGTTAGCTTGATTTATCTGGATGGGCAGGAGCCCAAAACAAACATTTGGGGGATTTGGTAAAAAATAAAAAGAAAAAAAAAGTCTTTACCTCTTACCAATCTTTTTTATAGAGCTGATCACCCCTCTCAGCCTGCTTTTTCTGCACCCAGCATTGCCAGCCCCATTTTGATTTTTCTCCTGCAGCTTGTGGCTGCTTGGGTGTTGGAGTTTTAGCTGCCTCTTGATAATTTAAACTGGGGGTGGTGAACTCTGAACCACAGACCTGTGAGAAGCCCTCCAACATTTTAAAACCTGCACAGCTCAAGGAGCTCAGACCCCTTTGGAACTTGGGGAGCAGAAAGAAACTAAAGCCCGTCTGGAGTTTGCTCATCGGCCCTCCAAGGTCAGGAGCCCTTGGGTCTCCCTCCAGTTCTCCGGGTTTTTCTTCTCTTCTCTCTGGTGTCAGTTCTGTAGCTCTTTGAACGCAGGGCCAATCCAGCAGAGCCCACATCCAGGCCTGCCGGGATAAGGGCCTCTGCAACCCCATCTTCCTGCTTTTCCTTTCTGCCAGGCCTAGAGGATAAATCGGGAGGAAGGGAAGACAAGGATGGGTAGGCAATCTCAGAGTATGTTTGAGGGTGAATACGGTTACAGAGCCTAATAAATAGGAAAAGACTATTTTAAATTTCCAGGCCCCATCAACATTTTCAGATTCCTGAATAGGCAGCATCCTCTAGGGTCAGCTCTGCCTGCCTCGATGGGGTATGAGTGAAGCCAGGAGTGTCGCCTCTACTCACTCCTCCTTTCTGACTCCCTCTCTTCCCAGCATCAAGGATCAGAAAAGGAAAGTATACAGTATTTTAATTTCCAGGCAGAAAAAAAAACCCTGGAACTGAGTGTGCAGGAGGCACTGCCAGATAGCCAAACCCTAGGTTCCACTCTGGAGCTCTGGCTTCCCGGGAAGCCTGGCCGCGAGAGAATGGGGCAAAATATGACTGTCTTCATAGGGTGGGGGTGTCCCTGCTCCCCTTCTCACAGAGGCCGGGGTCTTGAGGGTCACGAAATGGGGCCAGCCCGGGCAAAGGCGAGGTTTCAGGGGCCGGCGGCAGCCAGGCTCCTCCTCCGGGTTCCACGCCGCCTCCGTCCGCCCTGGGCGCGGTGTCGCCTTCAGCTGGGTCACGACCCCGGGCTTGGGCGGACAATAGGGCGCGGGGCGAGGAGCGCGGGCTGCGTGGCCGGCTGAGCGGGTTCACTGCGCGGTGGGGTTCACTGCACGGTGAACTCCGCTCGGCCTGAGGGTCTCGCCCTTTAGATCCCAGCCTCTCCTTTCTTCCGCCTATCTCACCTTCCATTTTTTTCGTGGAAAATTGAGAGGACCCTCAATCGCTGATTGACTGATACCCTACTGCTACCACCTCCAAATAATGAGATTTCATTTTCATTAGAAATGAAAAGATAGTTTCCTCCGAGGTACAAGAGCAGGAAATGGGACCCTCTCAGGATCTTTGTGGGGATGGAGAGGGGAGATCTAGTTATCATTAGAAGCGTGCTTATCAGTAGAAGCGTTCTCGACCTGG